CCACCCCAACTCAGAGCCCAGAATAGAACTTTACCCCAATTCCCGCTGAGAGCTATGCTCTGCAACACAGACGCAGCTTGGAGGAAAGATACCTGTATGGCAGGATTAGCCTGGGTATTCACAGATGGCTCAAATAAACCACTTGAATCCTCAACTACTGTGGAGTTTGTGACCTCGCCCTTAATGGCAGAAACCATGGCCATAAGATCAGCACTGATGCAGGCTAGGAATCTGGGATTTAGGGATTTGATCATCCTTTCTGATTCGCAGGTAGCGATAAGAATTATCAAATCCAGAACCCTAATCCTCGATCTTCACGGAATCCTCTCAGACATCATTCGCTGCTCTCAAGAATTTGATTCAATCGATTTCTTTTTTATTCCCAGAGATACAAACAATGTTGCTGATTCTGTAGCAGAAAAGGCCTTAATAGGCTAAAATGTATTGGGCTAAGATTCTAAATGGATATGTTTGATCAAAAAAAAAAAAAAAGAACAAAGATAAGAAAGGAATTAAAGAAAACAATCCCAAAAGCCCATGATAACTAAAAACCAATGAAAAATAAATAAAGCCCGTTAGATGCTTGTGCATACTGCGTTAGACAAACCGAATAGTATCACAAGTCACTCAAACAACCTTTCCCGCCTTTTGAATGCTGTCTTCCATTCATCTCCAGGCGAATACAAATCTGGTGGTAACCAGTTTTCAGATCCAGCTTTGTGAAAAGTGATGCAGTACCAATCTGGTCCAGGAGATCATCCAACCGCGGAATTCAAAACCTGTATCTCACCGTAATTTTGTTGATGACACGACTACCACGCATATACGCCAAGTACAATCTTTCTTAGGGATAAGTAATGCTGGCACAGCACACAGACTCTCTCGCAGGTAACCTTTGTTGGGCAGATCTTTAACTTGACGATGCAATTCGGCATGTTCTTGCGGGCTCATTTGATAGTGGGGCCGATTCGAAAGAGCCGCATTTGGCACTAAATCAATGCAGTGCTGGAAACCCTCTGGCAACTCTTTCGGAAGACATCTTGAAATTCTTCCAACAAATCACAAAAATCAGGTGGAACATCAAGAGGTAATGACTGCGATGTTGGCTTTATAATTAAAGCGAAAGTGACATCTGCATCCAGGAGTTCAGCAAACAAGGCAGCTCGGGAGATAAATAACGAGGGCTGGGAAGTGACAGACGGAGGTGGCACAGTTGGAGTGTTTTTGGAAGGAGCAGTGACGTATGTCGTGTCTTGAGACGGAAGGAGAACAATATGTTTACCCTCAAATGTAAAACTGGGCGTGTTGGCAAACCTGTCATGTACCGTGCGACTGTCGAATTGCCAAGGGCGACCAAGAAGGATATGATATGTGTCCATGGGAATCACATCACAGCAAATGAGATCTTTGTAGCTCGTTCCAATGGAGAATGGGACTGGGGAACGCTTCATCATGCACAACTCAGTCGATGTATTAAGCTATGCTAACTTATACGACATCGGATGTGGTTCGGAGAACAATGCCAGCTTCATAACTGCTTCTTCGGAGATTACGTTAGCACAGCTTACAGAATCAATAACTAAACAATACACCTTGTCACGAATAGTACATGAGTAGCGAAAGATGTTCGTACACAACCAAGATTCCTCTTTAACACTAGTTTTCAAATAATTGTGCCGAAGCATCAACAAGGGCCCAGTATCTCCACTCAACAATTCCTCTCTCTCGGCTCCTTCTGCATCTGCGTACTCATCGTATATCGGCTCATCGTCAGCCAACATACCACACTTTCCTTGATGAGGACAGGCAGATTGTCGATGACCCACTTCTCCACACGCAAAACACTTAAACATAGGAGCTCGCATCTGCCTCTAACTGACGACTTCCTCAACATCGGCCACTTCTTTAGGCTGATCCAAAACACGTGTGTTGTGTGAATCCCCGGTGGGAACGGACCAAGAACGTCCGGAGGTGGAATTGCAGGCTGATGAAGAACTACGCCACTGTTGCTCATTCAATATGGCTCGCTGATGAGCGTCAGGCACAGACAAAGGATTGAATTGTAACAACATGTTCTGAGTCGAAACACGAGAACCTCTGATGAAATGAGAGACAAGCTGATCCTCTGTTTCAACAAGTGTGCTTCTGGTCAATAGCGTGAAAAATTCTGAGGCGTAATTATCAACCGTTTTGCTCCCCTATCGCAAATTTGTAAAACGCGTATACATTGTACGCGAATAATTGTATGGAAGGAACGACTTGTGCATCTTGCTATTCAATTTTTCCCATGAGATCAGTCGCTGTTTTCCAGCACGCTCCCTCTGTTTTTTTCACATGTTGACAAATGTAGAGAAACAGGAAGCAAAACATATACTGTCTCCCATCCATTGTCAGTCAAAAATAAGAGTGATAAAGGTACAAGACTTACTATCTCCACTCCTCTATCTTCACCTTTAGCTACAAGTTCTACTATCATCAATTTTTCTGAAACATTGGTCGTAATAAAAGAGGCCTCCGCTTTTATACAAGTCTATCTCTGCTCAAGACGAGATCAGATATTGCAGGAGTTTGTCCAACTCAGCACTAGGTTCCAATCAATTTTCCACTTTGATTATTTGGCTAGCGAAGACGAAACCTCGGTTTCAAATCTATCTCTGAAGATGTTCACTGATCTATATCGAAGCGGAAATTTTGGTATTAACTTTTTCAACTATATATCTTAGTCTGATCTTGTGCGCTTTGCATAATATATTTTAACAACCGATATGGCTCTGCGCCATGCTGTAATCCGGTTGTGAGATCGGTACAATATTAAAAAAGAAAAAATTAAGATAAAAGAAAGGTAACAAAACATTATTGAAAAAATGCATTATTCTCAATAAAAAAAATAATGAGAATAACATATACGTTTGTTACAAAAAAAAAAAGAGAATAACATATACGTTTTCTTTTATATATACACATGAGTGATTTGACAAACTGTGAATTCAATATTATTGTTGTGCTTTACCATATGGTCGTATATTTATACAAAGAGGTGTAAGCCCTAAAATACTAAAAGAAAGGAATATCTAGAGAATATATAATTATGTGTATCTAAGATATATGAGAATATTTCTGATAAGTGGCTATTTTGACTTATTCTGATATGTGTTTTCTGATATTTTTAAGAGTGTTTGGAGTTTTTTTCAAGTTGTTTCAGGTGTCTAGGAAGTTTTAGGCTAAGATTGGAGCAGCTGGAGCTTTTGGTGCAAAAAGGAGCTAAAGCTGAGCAAAAGAGGTCAATTTACACTAAGTTGGATCATTTTTGGTCGGGAGCACCTGTTCCCGATTTCGCTGTTTCGTGGAGCACCTGCTCCAACCACCTGGAGAAAAATAAGGAAAACGATTTCTACATAATTCTAGGATCAGAAAGAGAATAAAAAGTTCAGAGCCGCCTCAAAAACATAATCACGGTTTTACATACTTTCTTTTACGCTTTCTTTTACGCTTTCTTTTTACAAGTTTCTGGACTAGAGAGTTTTTGCTTGTAAGCTTTTGGAAGAGGAAATCTGCTACACTTTGAGAAGAATTCTGAACCCTATTATCACTTATGAGATTTATTTCATGAATTCCTTTTCATCTGTTGTTGTGTTTCTTTTCTCCATGTCTGAGTAGATCTCTTAGCTAGATTAAGGTTTTCAAAGGATTTCATGAGTTAGAGAATTGGATGCAAATAGAGCTTAAAATCGATTGTCTTCACCTCTGTTAAACTTAATGCTTAGGTTGAACTGATCACTCAATTTACGATCTTAGGTTAATCTATTCATCAAAAGTGTAATAGGTTGCTAGAATAAACTTTGGTAAGCGATTTGTCCTTAGCCAACGACAGTTGAAGTTAAGGCAAATCGTGAGCAGATCAAACCTGATTGTTAATGCTTGTCTGCAATTTTCTAGGTTCAAACGACAGTTTAGAATTTAGATTGTTAGACATAGTTATCGGTGCCACGACAGTGGGTCGATATACGTTCGAGACCTACCTGCATTTAAATTGGGCCCTGAATAGCCATCTGATTCTCATCTCTGAAACTCCTGCGAATTTCCTTGGTCTAGTGCTTTTCCTAAATCGAATTTACATCGTTTTTAATTTGCTTTTTCTTGCTGTATAAGTTACAATCAATCAATCTTTTGTCTTAGCTTTAATTCAATCATCTTAGAGTCATAGAGTAACACTGATCCTCTGGATTTCAAATCATTTATATTACAATCTCAAAGTTGTTCTATTTCAGTAGAAACTAGGAGATACATCCAGTTGGAATCAATTTTTGGCGCCGTTGCGACGGGGACCGATTCGTTACCTCTGATTCTTGGTTTGAAATTCAGACTACGACCTTACTAACTTTTTCTCTTTTTCTCTTGTCTGCGTGTAGTTCAGGTGCATGACAAACAGGTCCACAAGAAGAAATTGCACCGAGGATCTTGTTTCTTTGTCAAACACCGAACTAGCAAGAGTCGAGCGAGAAAACAGACGTCAAAGGCCTATTTAAGCCAACATGGGCGATCAGGACAACAACAACATGTTAGCTGAGATGCAGCAGCTTCGCCAACAATTGGAACAGTTGCAAAAGGCTCAGCAAGACAGGGAGCAGCAACAGCCTGCCATTGGAGACAAGGACAATCTGCATGCTTTCTACCAAAACAGAGCTGCGATTGCTCCTCCGATGATTAACAGGCAAGACTTTGAGATCAAACCTCAGCTGATCTCATTGGTGAAGCAGCATCTATTCCATGGGATTCGTGCTGAAATTCAGATGGACCACATTGAGAATTTTGAGGAGATTTGCAGTACGACTGGATCAAATGGGATACCAAGCGATTTCCTGAAGTGCAAGCTTTTTCCTTTTTCACTTGCGGATAAAGCTTCGCGCTGGTTGAAGTCATTGTCAGCTGGGTCATTGACTACTTGGACAGAGTGCAGATCAGCATTTTTGGACCATTTCTACACTAAGTCCAAAACTGCAGCTCTAAGGAACATGATCTCATTGTTCAGACAACAACCTGGTGAACCTTTTGCGAAGCTTGCGAAAGGTACAAGGAGTACTGAAGAGAGTGCCTTCACCATGGGTTCTCTGATGAACAGATTCTTTCAACCTTTTATGATGGTGTCAACTGGGATTACAGGAATGCTTTGAATGCAGCTAGCAATGGCGATTTCATGATTAAGTTCATAGTGTGGAGTTGCACAAGATCAATGAGCTTACAGCAAAGGTTAATCTGCTGTTGAAAGAGAACCAGAAATCTGTGCATTTTGCTGATGAAATTGGTGATACACCTCTTGCTCAAGAGTTTGTAGAAACAGAGGATGATGATCAGATGGAGGTGAACTTTGTGAATGGACAAGGGTATGTGCAGAACCGCAGCTTCAACAACTTCAGGATCCATGATGCGGTGTTGTGGTCGTGAGGGTGTGTCAAGTTTTACCCTAAATGAAATCAATAGCCGCAAGTGCACAGCTGATCGATTGTAGTACTTAGGGATCGAATCCACAGGATAGGAGGATCTTTCCTGCAAAAGCCTTTGAAAGAAATATAAAGTAAGGAAGTCTAGAGCCAGGAAAGTTTTGTGAGGGTTTTGGTAATGTGTTTAAAATGTAAAAATGAATCTTAAAAAGAAAATACAGTAATTAAAATGACCTAATAACTAAACTTAACGAAAATGAGTAAAAACGTCAAAAACGGCTAAACCTAATTGCTTGAATGAAAATCGATTGAAAGAGTAAATAAACTTGACTAAAGCTTGAATGAAAATCGGTGTAAATCTATAAGAAAGAAAGCGCTGGGGTTCAGGGAAGTTTTCTCAGGGGTACGAACGATTCAAAACATTGCTAGAGAGTAAATTTGATAAGATCTTAGCTTAAAGTTTTTGAACTGGAGTCACGGACGTATGAATACGCCACTGTCGTGATCATAGACAACTATCTCTCTCAACCCTGACCAGTAGGTTTCCACTCTGGCCCTGGAAAAGAAGAGATGCATTATGTTTAAGACTCGTCAGCATTCACAAATCGCCCATAGGTAGGTTTCCACTCCTATGTTTGTTTTGCTCTCCCAAACTAGATCTGACACCGGATGAACACTTTCATGTCACCAAGCATCTGGATCAGATTGTAGTTCATGACGCTACTCTCATGCCGTAAAAACGAATTCAGAAGAAAAAGTTCTAAGATTCGGCCAAAAAGCTCATGGAATCCTCATCGAACATATAAATCCCCATCGAAAATCTCTTAATCCCAACAATAAAACTACTCAGACATGATGAACGAAATCAAAAACATAGTATTAAAAAGTAGAATAGAAACCGAAATTGAAAAAGAAAGAACAAGGGTTACAAATCTCTCTCTCCCTAAAACCTTAAAACAAAGCTTAAAGTAAAATTTCTGTAAAGTATTTCGTCTCCCCTCTTCTCTTCTTAAAAACGACCTAAATGACATGTATTTATAGTCTCTAATACTCTCTGGTGTCTAGGGTTCCGGAATTGAGGCTGGGAAAATGATACGGGCTTCAGAAATGGGCCTTCAAAGTCGGAGTTGGCTGGCCGCGATCGGGATGAGTGCGACCGCGGGAAATGGGTGGCTGGCCGCGGTCGCGGTGGTTGTGACCGCCGGAAATGCTCTGTTGGCCGCGAGTGGAAACGCTTGCCGGCTGGTTTACGGGACATCTTGCTCTTCACGTATCTTTTGATTGAACCGTTGGATTGCCATGCTGTAAAGTGTGCTGGAAAGCTGATACTTCCATCTTTAAGATCTTCAAATTTGAGCTGGATCAGACGGTGAGAAGGCCTTCAATCAGGGGTGAACTTCTGACGGTTTGACTCTGAGCTGAAATCTGGTTTTCTATCCATTTTGTTAAGTTTTTCCCTAAGTTACCTGAAAAGAGTCTTGGAACTACAAATACTAGAAAAACGTAATAAAAGTACTTAAAAGAAATTAAAAACATAGAAAAAGTATTTCAAAATGATCCATAAAAGTGGTCAAAATACGGTGTTATCAACTCCCCCAGACTTAAACCTTTGTTTGTCCTCAAACAAAGCAAAAGCCTAAACTGGTTAAGTGAAAACAAAAATAGGAAATGCACAAATCTCAGAGACATGAGCTCCTAAACTAGGACCAAAGATCGTGCATCTATCCACAACTTAGTCTAAAAAATTCTCACCAATGCACAAAAGATACTAGTCCACTTTTTCCATCATGGAAAACATAAACAATCTAAATCTTGATTCCAGTCAACTAGCTCTCTACATTCGTTAAGTTCAATAGTGAGTTCTCATTAAGGACATCATCCAGGGTAGACGGCGTTTGGCATTAAAAGGGCTGTTTAAGTGGTGGAGTTAAAGTGTTTTGGGTTACCTGATGAATCTGGAGGATGCAAGATAATATGCAAAACCGCAAGAGAGATAAGGACCTGTTGATGACTGCAATTTTCAGTCACTTCTTCTTGCAAATGTTGTTGCATAATCCTTCCTCCTTTGTTGTAAACAGCTATTCCCCCAGACTTAGATTCTTTCCAGGAATCAGAAAATGATCTCCAAAACTCCATAAAATTGTAATCCAGTCGCCTTAGGACTTAAAATTCGATCTCTCTAGATTCTCTAAGGCTTTAATTTACTTTCTTTTCTTATTTTCGATTTTTTTTTTTTTTTTTTTGATAAGGAAATGCCTTTTAAAGAGAGAGAGAGACTAGAGGACGAGATTGTACCAAAATTTGAGATTCTTCTAAGGCAAACTGAGCTTCCTCTTGTGTTGAATCCTTCCGGGAACTTTTCCGGCAAATCGCAGGTCTCTGTCCTTGGTGACTGAAAACTGCGTCGTTCCTCTTTCTCTCCAACGTTTTTGCACTTATCTGCATATAAGACAATAGAAAACAAGAGTGCATGTGGTTTGAAAGAGGATTGGTTTAGGTGGGGAAATAGCTAAAGATGAACTAGCCATTCAGGATCAACAGAGAGTGGTAAAAGGATAAATGAGTCCTGAATGTATGATTCGTTTCCCTGGTCTAATGCTTCAATGAGAAAGTTAAGTCCAAATTAAGTCCAAATAAAACAGAGCTAATGTATCCCTTCATCTAAATCGAAATCATTCAAATTCCTCTGGGGTACTTCGTTTCAAATGTGCTTAGCTACCGCCTAGTCTAGTCCTAAATCATGAATGAGCATGTCACTAGGAACAGTCTAAAAGCACACAGTCAACTATCATTGATTCATGTTCACCATTCCCTTTTAAAACGTATTTTGTTTTGAAAACCGGTTTTGGAAAAACTTTAAGGAAAATGCAAAAAGTATAGATAATGCAATACTCATGAAAGAAAAGTGGTTAAAAAGGGATGAAATCCTCCCCCAGACTTAAATCACACTGTCCTCAGTGTGAAACAAGTCGAGATTGGATGAAAAAGAATGCATAGAAAATCGAATTGGTAAGGCCAAAGAGAATTTACCTGGATCCGGGATGCTGGTGGAGGTGAACCGGATTCATTCGAAGAGGTTTTGGGAAGGTGATAGGTGGTGATGAAGGTGGTGGAGGGTGATGAATGAGGTGGAGTGGGGATTGGTGAGGTGGAATGAGGTGAAGTGGGTGGTTTGGGGTTGGGTTTGATCTCAACGACCATTTGCCGCGGTCAGAAAGACGCGACCGCGGCAAAAGGGGTGTTTCCCGCGGTCATAACACCTGCGACCGCTGGGGCTTATCTTGCGGCCTCTTCCTGCTTCTCCTTGGTTCCTGCTGGGCCGAGCAGTCAGGGACCATCATTCTTTTTGGTTTTTTCAGGTGTTTTGATTTTTTTGGCTTTTTTTGTTTTATAAGAAACACCTGAAACTAAGAAAAAGAAAAAGATCAATAGAAAAAGAAAGAAAAATCCTAAAGAAAACAATACCTAAATAGGTTGCCTCCCATTAAGCGCTTTTGTTTTAAGTCGTTTAGCTCGACTTTTGGTGTTGGACGTGGCTTAGTCCAATGAAGAAGACCTTGTCCTGAGACGAGTCTTTTTCGACATCTCCTTGCTTTGCCTAGCAGGTTCTTCGTCACTCCAAAGTTATTCTTCAAACTTTTCTGTTGCAGAACGTTTTCCTGCTTTGTTGTGGTATGGAACAGCTTCTGTGAAGACATCTTTATCGATATTAGCAAATGAAATCCTCCTGTTTGGCCAGTCCATTATAGCTCCGAAAGTTGCTAGAAAAGACCATCCGAGAATCACTGGATACGTTGCATCTCTCGTCTCGACAATGTAGAAGTCGACAGGCACTATGCAATCTCCTATTCTCAAAGGAATTTCATGAGCTATTCCTTGAGGTGTTGCATTGGAATCATCAGTGATATGTCTATATTTTGCATCATTTAGGCTGCATTTTAGAGTTCATATCATGTGTTTTCTCATGTATATTGAGTCTTTAGGCATCAAAATAGGTTTTAGGACTTGCATTAGGTCCCAAAGAGTTTTGCATGTTTTGAAGTCTTTATCAGGTGCTTTGGAAGCTATTTGGAGCTCAAGGGGAGGATCAGGAATGAAAACGGTGAAGAAAAGGATCAAAAATGTTGAAAACCGCTTGGAGGAATTTCTCGGCCAAAACTCGTACCGGCTGGACGAAAACCTCAGCCAAAATCCTTACTGAACGGTCGTTATCGGCTAAAAATGAGTATCGGGTGAAAATCCTCTCGGGTGAAGTTTTACGCCGAGGCGAGAAGATTTATCGGCTAAAAAGCTTACTGCGGTACCTGATTCTCGGACATTTTCCTTACCGCGGGAAGCATTTCTCGGCCAAAATCTATTTTCACCCGCGTACTTCAAAGATCACCAATCCGGGGAACCTTCCAGTCCGAATCAGTTGACGGGTTCTTCATTGAAGTTGGAGATAATCAAGCCAAGAACCCAGAACAGTTAGAATCATTCAATTTGGACCAGTGAAAAGAGAGATATCGCCTCCGGAAGGCATGCCTGTCTCGCATGCACCCGAACGCTGATCAGCTGAGCTTCAAAGACTACGTGGGACGGAACCCTTCCGATACGAACCAGTCTACCAAGTCTTCATTAAAGTTTGGGATCTATGAAAGACCTTTCCGGAACACTTGGAGTCACTCAATTCGGAGCGGTGGTTTGGAAGATACCGTCTCCGGAGTACACATCGGTCCAAAAGCTGTACTTTCCGGTCATTCCGATGCGGTACAAAGATGAGCAATCCAGGAAGCCTTCCACCTCCCAAGCTCCGATGGTTTCTTCACCAAAGTTTGAGCTGAATGAGTCATCTCGACTATGAACTGGTCTCAAAGCATTTGGAGTCGTGTGCTGAAAGTTATTGCTTCCGGAAGACAAGTTGGTCGATATGAGCCCAAATGAGTTGTGATATGCGCTAAGTGTTTCTACAGACCTCAGCATCGCTACCTCGACACCGCTCAGACCAAGTCTCATCTCTTGAGAGCATTTTGGGCTAGACCTCGTACTAACCCCTCGGTATGATGAGATCAAGGCATGCATGCAAGGGAAGTGAAACTGAAAACGACTAAGTGTTGAACATGCACCTCCGTACAAAGACCTCGGCATTGCATGCCGGACTCCGTCTTCCTGAACCCCTCGACTACCAAGCTCTGCGGCATTACATGGCGATGTCCCTTGTCATAACTCCGGAATCAAGAACAAGGTGGCTTAAGATAACACACGTGAAGATGGATCGAAGACTAGGGTTCATGCATGTTCTTGACGTGTTTTTCACGAGATCTCCATCTTGATCTTTGCTCACGTGCATCTCTTGGCATCAAGACCTCGGCTGCACACTCTGACACACCGTGGTGCTCACCCAATGACCCGAGAAGGCGGTTCAGTACCCGGTTTGTTCCGGGCTGACCCGCAACACTTTCCTATTGCTATAAATAGATTTTAGGACCAAAAACCTAATTATCTGATCTTTTATCCTCTTTTAGCTTTAGGAACTTGCCTCTTTTGTGAAACTTGATCAATCTAATCCGATATCTAGTTTTTGCATCAGAATCTTGTTCTTGTTTTATTTCTTTTGTTCTCCAGCATTAAACTCCTTATCATGACTAGCTGCACGTCTTGCAAAGGACTTGGTGAGCTCGTTATGATCAGTGAGTAGTCGTTTAAGCGGCTTTAGATAGGTAGATTAGGGTGCTTTCATGATAGATTAGTGAGTTTAGGGGTCTAGTCTTGCATGTTTCATTCTTGAACCGACGAGATCTCTAAGCTGGATCCAAGCACATCACTTGAGGTTCAGATCTGAGACATATCTCGCATCAAAAGTGTTTGTAGAAATGTCTGAACCACTCGGTTAAAGGTTTAAGAGTCTTTCATCGCGAGAGTGATAGTTTGTTCTCTTAAATGACTTATTGAACTGAATCTTAAAGCTGACTGATTCATGCTTCTCAAAATGGATTTTGGTATGAAAGAGGATCAGTTTAGATGCTTAATACTTTCATGAGAAGATTAACATACTTTGAGTTCATGTTAAATGAAACCGCTTGATAAATCTGATTCATTAACTTGCTAGTCTAGCTTGGAAGCACCCGAGTCATGTATCCTGTCTAAAGCTTCTGCCTTTATCATATATATTCATCATCCGAACCATTTACTCATTTACTGTTAATCAGTTGCATCTTTATCTAGTTTAGGTCTCATCTTTTATTATATTTTCATGTTCATTTGCTTGTTACATAGTTTAGCTAAAACCTTTACCTGTTCATCTTGACTTAAGATCACAAGTAACATAGATTAGTGTCTCACACACAATTTGGATTGATAACCCCTTGTACTACAAGACAGGGGATTGATAACCTCTACAAAGAGCCTCAAAAACTCCTAGTTATCAATTGGCGCCGTTGCCAACTTGTGGGAGCATTAGTCTCTTGTTTGTTCTTAAGATCAAGACTTTACTTTCTTTTGTTTTACTATCTCTTTTGCAAGTTCTGGCATTGTTTTCAGGTGCATGAAAACCAGATCTCGCAGCACAGAACCGCCTCTGCCCTACGACAATAACATTAACAGGATCGAAAGGCGAGCTCGCGAGAGAGAACGGCACTTTGAAAGGCTTGGAATGGCAGAACAGCAAAGGATAGAGCAGCAGGCTCAAGATGCTGAGCACCAGGCTCAGGCTAATCAGGCGCAGGCAGAAAGAAATGAACAACAAGCCTTCGTTAACCAACAACAGGCTCAAAGAAATGAAACGCTTGCTCAACAGAATCAACATCAAGCCAATAGAAATGAGCAGCAAGCCCATCATGTTCATCAGCCACCGCCACCAGCTCAGAGACAACCTCCTCCGATCTTTGTTGGAGAAAACGACCGAGCTAACGCGCACCAATATAGAGCCGGGATTCAGGCACCACCTGTGCAAAACAACAACTTTGAAGTTAAAGCTTCCCTGCTCAATATGGTGCAGAACACCAAGTTTCACGGTCTACCCAGAGAGGACCCTCGTGATCATCTTGATCAGTTTGATCGGGTTTGCGACCTGACGAAGATTAATGGCGTGTCAGAAGCTAGCTTCAAGCTACGCCTGTTCCCATTCAGCCTCGGTGATAAAGCTCACCAGTGGGAAAAGAACCTCCCGAGGGGTTCTATACAAACATGGGAATAGTATAAACTGGCATTCTTATCAAAGTTCTTCTCCACATCATGCACGGCCAAGCTAAGGAATCAGATCTCAAGTTTCACGCAGCACAACAACGAGAGCTTTAGTGAAGCTTGGTAACGGTTCAGGAGCTATACAGACCAATGCCCACACCACGGCTTCTCGGAGGCATCCCTCTTGAGTACTTTATACCGAGGTGCACTCCCCAAGATCAGAAACCAACTCGATACACCTTCAAATGGGAATTTTCTTGGGAAAGAGATCAATGCGGCAATGGAACTCGTGGAGAACCTCGCCATGTCCAATTACACGAATGGAGAAGACTTTGACAGGGCAAACCGTTCAGAGGGATCTAGTAAAGAACAGCGCATGAAGAAAGATATAAGAGAGCTACAGAGCAAGCTTGACAAGGTTCTAATGGCTACACAAAAGCCAATACACTTTGTAGGCAAATTTGATGAGCAAGGGCCGAGTTTTGATAATGTCAATGAAGATGGTCTAACTCAAGAGGAGCTAAACTACATATGGAATCAGCAGAGGTATCAGCGGTTTAACAACTTCAGCAATAACCCAAACCTCTCTTACCGAAATCTAAATGTAGCTAACCCTCAAGACCAAGTGTACCCTGCTCACCAACACCAACAAAGCTATGCTCCAAAAGCTCCATTTCAGAATAGCTTTCAGCCCAAGCAACAGTTCAGTGGGCAGCAATAGAGCTATAGTCAGCAAAATCAAGCGGCTCAAAGCAACACCTTTAACAGCCAACCGCAGCAACATAAGTTTCCACCAGGGTTCAATCCGCAGCCGATGGGTAATCAGCAACAAAATCAGGGACGGGTCCAAATCAGATGGGAACTGACGTCTGTGGGA